GCAGTTGAATGCTTTCTGTCTTAAAGCAATATTTGGTCAAAGCAGGTGTGGAATGTAAGCTGGGCAAGGGTGACTGATATTTAAATCATTACAAGTCAAGTGTGATAAGATGCATGTTTTCTCATGATATTTCAGTCAAGCCACAGTGCACACTGCATTACAGCCTTATCCCTCTTTCACAATGCACCACATGAAGCAGAACTTGTGTGTTTCAAACAGAGGTCTGAACAAACGCTTTACCATGTTAAATTGTAACATACTCTATATTGTACTCTGTATTGTGTGCAATTTGAATATACGAACGTTTCTCTACTGTCAGCTTGCATTGTTTTCAGGTTCACACCGGTCTCAGATTGAGTAGCTATGGAGTTATGTTTTCTTTATGCAGGCTAAGATAAAAAGCATTCCGTGCAAACCAGTGTGAGTGAGCACTTGAGGGGACCAGCCAATGAGATGGCGGCCGCACACAGGACTGTATAGTGATAAGTGGAGGAGGAGGCCAAGCACAGGAAGGGTGAAGGCAAACACAGAGAGGCTCCCTCTGGCTCAGAGGGGCTGACTGCAACACAGCCCATCTGCAGGAGAGCGTTAAACCGGTGCCGCCTCTGTGTGCTTGTGTGATGTAGCCTTCACTAATCAGTCTGAAGGGACCTTTTTATTTGGTATTTCAGGAACTGTGCAGTCTTTTATATATAATATATAATGTCCTATACCAGGGCTTTCAGCTATAAGGGCACAATTTCTATCTTAGCGGCCAAGTTGTAAGTATAAGTGTTATAATTATTGTTATGCACAATAAGTGAAATCAGGACAAGCGTTAAGCCCCAGATTTGCAGGGTTTTAGATTCTTTCAATGATAATTACATGAGCCTTGCCCTCGTTTCAAGGTTAATATTCAAATATTAGCATTAAAGGTAAAAAATTAAACTGTTAAAACATTTTAGCCTTTAGTTCCACTGGAGGGAATGGCACATAGAAAAAAAAGAAAAAACTATACAAAATAATGAGATGAAATAGGTTTATCACTTGGGCATTTGCTAGCCAATGTAAATTTCACTTTAATCGACCTTATTGATGTCTGCTTAAAGCGCCCTTCCCTTTGTACAAATGGCCAAGCTTTGCTGTTGATCTTATACAGGTGCTGAGTGCTCCTTTTTGTGTCTCTGGCACAACCTTCCTCTGCTCGAACAGAGACTGCCTGCAGCAGTGCCTGCAGCTAAGATAGAATGCATTGGCATGCTTCACTTGATCAGCTGTCAGCTGTGTTTGCAAGAAAGATGACAGAGGAGAGAGGGAGGCAGGGAGCCTGCGAGGCAAGGGATAGCCAGATTGAGGGGACAGGTCACAGGAAGGTATACGATATGTTTCCTTAACCTCCTGCTCTGTGCGGTCTGTAGGCCGATGCCTGTTAGGAAAGCTTGGGTACATCATTTGCAACAGTACCAGATAGTTAACACAGGCCCAGCATACCTCTGTAGTTTAACAGTTGAAAAGGAGAAGGAGGTAGGCAATAGTGACAAGTTATTCAGTAGACTATCAAGCAGACAGAGGTGAGGTGGTGATGAGAGAACCACCGGTCTGGTGGTGTATTTCAGCCCATTGTGTAACAAACAGCACCACCCACTGGCACAGGACAGGTATTTCAACCTCAATATCAAATCCGAAGACAAAATTGATTTAGTCTAGAGACATCCCTTTTGTTGTTAGCTTGTTTCAAAGGGTTACTACTGCTGCATATTTGTACAATTGCAGTAATTTTTCTTCAAATGATAGCTTATAAAAAATTATTCACGTGATAATCATGGGTGTTTCTTTGCTGTATTAAATTTGAATAAAATAAGAATTTTTGCTTCAAAAAACTGAATGCAAATGATTTTGCTTATTTTTTATTTATTTTGCTTAAGTCAGATTGAAGGTAATAATAGGGTTATTCAGTCATACAGGTTTATCTACACTGCTCATGGTTAATAGTGAAACTGAGAATAGCTCTAGGTACCTCAACCCAGTCCCTTGACGTCATCCCTACTTTGATCTCTGTCGAATTCTAGGTTGTTATTTGCTCATTTGGTGTATTAACCTTGTGTTACTGTGTCTTCATGAAACACACATAGAGAATACAGTGCTAGAGATGCTATGTGTTCTTACAATTTTACAAATCCAAAAAGATTTGTGTATTAGAATTAGGACAAAGACTACAAAAACTGAGGTTTTCTAAACCTCTAAAAGGATATTTTACCTTTTACTTGCAGTTAAATTAAATTACAGCAGTGCTCTTCCCAAAATATTAATCTATTTTGTAGCTTTTGGTCTACATTATTTAAAAAATCCATTTCAAGAGAATAATATACTGAACATTAAAATTAATTTATCACTCTGTGCTTGTGTGTTTTTAAAAAGAAATTAAAAAGATTTTAAGTGTTGAATAAATGGCTATACTGTTATGCAATACTACTATTGCATTCCATGAACATTGTGTCCATCAAATGATCAACTACAGTTCAAGAATCATTGTATGTCGTGTTATTGGTGTTAAGCAGAGAGTAAAGCATTCAATGGTGATTGTATTTTATAACATTTTTGTTACAGAGCATTTCTTTATATGAGGGATGTGTTGAAAAATGTTGTTGAAAAATATGACAATCTCCAAAACATTTCTATATACAAAAGCAGACCTTCAGCTGAAGTATTTCTTATATACTTTGTCACTTCTAAAATAAAAGGAAAGACAGAAATCGTTGGTTAATCTGAAAAAAAAACAATTGTATAGTGGTATATTGAATCAATAGTGCTGAAGATGGTTTCTGCAAAATACTTGAAAGAACTTGAAAATTAACAGATTTTATTAAATGCATAACCTAAAAACAACACAATCCAAATCTATATGAAAATTATTAAATTATATTATTGTTCCTACTTCAATAGCAGCAATGTGTGTTTATTAAAAGTTTCATAATCAAGGAATGTGTTAATGAATTTTAATATAGGTAGATTTCATGCAGGTGATTATTTCCAGAAATAGTTCCTGTCAAAGCTAGTAAAAGTGCCCTTCAGCAGATGCAAGAGTCTGTAGCTCTGTCTTCCTGTCCATGATTTGGAAGAATAGCTCCACTTTTAGTACATTTTTGTACCATGACACGACTTCTTCCTAGCTGTGGATTGTAGTACACCTCTGCATTACATCTCTTACATTATATCTGTTCAACTCCTTTCTTTGCAGTGGTATTCATCAGGTTGAGAATTTGTAGACAAACAAATCATATGAAAAGCCTGTGATAGTATTGCTTTTACTGGTTTTGATTATAGCTTTTAGCCTAAAAGTTCTCTGTTTGCTTCATTACTGTAACTACTTATAGATGCTACTTTTTCTTTATGCTTAGTTCTACCTGGCCAGCTGTACCCAGTTTTGGCCTTTTCCAGTGAAAGGAATACTAGACTGAAAAATGGTTGGGAAAAAAGCAAAATGCTGGAGAATTCTGTACTCTGAATGGCTGTGGCACTATTCAAAGGTCATTGGCCCTGTCTGTGTTTTTTAAAAGAAACAATAGCCTGCCACCATTTGCCCTTTTATTCAACGTTACTTTTTTTTTCCCTTTCAAAGTTAAACGTTGGTATCTGAACAGATCCTTAAGCCCGTCTGACAGTAAGCTGAAATGGTGTCATGCAGAATGACTAAACAAAACATTTCTCCGACAATGAGCTGTTTATTTGGATGCAGAATTTTCCACGCCACTGGCTGTGTCATTAGGTGAACTCTGAAGATGATACAGTCACTTGTTCTGGCTTACAGAATTATCCTGAGTGCCAGAGGTATTTGTGAGAAATTGTAACAATGAAATTGTCTCCTCGCCATACACATGCATGTGTAAGTGCAAAGCCTGCTGCTCATGCTTACAAAACATTAGAAAGTCTTTCTCTTCAGAAAGTTGTCACACTTGTCAGGCACATGTGCTGTATTGGAATTTGTTTACACTACCAGAGTGCAAGGACAGGTGAATAATGTTTCCTGTTCACAGTACTACACTTTGTGAGCTGTCTGAACAACATGTTATGGAGCAAATGAAACTTGTAAATTGTTAACTCAAAAATTCTATAATTTGAATAAACCTTTGAATGTGGAGTCTGTGATTCATAGAAAACTTACCTGGGGGGATCTGTCAGGAATGAAGAATGATGAAGAAATCACTAGAAATGGCATGTAGTAGAAGGATAAACTCCTACTGCAGAAGTAGATGCTAATTAATAGCTGTGAAATATGTCAGAATATTTTTCTCATGTGTTGTCACATGTTTGAATGTTTTCTAACAATGTTGTTGAAAAATTGAAGTGCTTTCCAAATATTTATCATCTATCTCACTGTTTCTTGAACACCCAGTGTGGAGTGCCTGGATGTGTGTTTTTAATACGGAAATTCGCAGGATATTTGCTCTTGTGAGTGGGCTTTTTCTCACCCAACAGCTTTGCAGAATTATTCCAGTAGCTGTCAAAATGGAAGGTAAAACATACAATACAGTTTATGCAATCTTTGTGTTTCAGCAGACAAAAAAGGAAAGAAAGTAAAAACAGAAGCCATGTACTACATTGTAGTAAGAACAGGCTGTGCCCTTGGAATATTACTGTCTCCAAATCCAGTACAGTATATTGCCTACTTTCTAAACAGTGATAGTGAAGAAAATAATCTGTGCTTTTTACAACATTTTGTAACAGAAATCAAATGCAAAATCATTTTTCTTGAATATTAGACTCTAGGCTTGGTCATAATATTAGACTCTAGTCTTGGGGTTTAATAAGTATGTTTTATTTTAGTTGTTGTGTTTCGCACATTAGATAGTACAAGCTTAATCGATTTTCCCATTAAGAACAGGGACCCACCACAGTGTAGCAGAACGTTTCTGTGTTTCATTCTGTTCACCCACAGAGCAGCGTGTGTCTTTGGATATCCTTTTTCACAGTACGTAAACAATGCTCTAACTCTTGCTTTCCTGTTCCGCTCCCCCTTGCAGGCAGAGGGTGAAGACAGCCTTAAAAAGATGCAGCTGATGGAACTTGCGATTCTCAATGGCACCTACAGAGACGCCAACATCAAATCACGTAAGGATGCCTAAATTCACCTTTATTACAGAAGTCGAGAGTAAATGCCTATATACCATCTCATTTCTAGTTCATAAGGGAAAGCAGTTTTACCCTAATAGATTTATGTATATCATTTGGTTCCAATTTTGATTTCTCATGGCTGAATATTGAAACTGAACTCCTAAGTGTCTGAAGAAGATTGTATATACAGTATGTATTAAAGTCACTATCGTTTATCTGTAATGAAGCTAATTCTTATCAAACTCAAGGGCACATAGCTCATAATCAGATATTTTGAAAAAATAGGAACTAGCCTCTCTGTTTCATTAAGCAATTCATATTTGTGGTAAGAAATAGCATCGTATTCTTGGAAAGCCTAGTACAGTGCCCATAACAATTAAAGTCACACTTATTACCTATTAATTTACCTCTGCCTAAATAATGTAGACATATCCAGTGACCCAGATGAAAAAAAAAATCCAGCATATACATTCGATCACTTTTTAATTTGCTACAAAGTAAATAAAATTGCGCTACCCAGTCTAGAACAGATAATGGAGCTCTGTGCACAGCACATCTGGGTAAGACAACGGTGATGACTCACGCTGTATCTTTATTGCTAATGGCACCCAGCATTGTGGGCTGAGTAGATTCTCTGGGTCTTGCCTTGTTACTCATGATTGCACTAATATGGACATTTGCTGTGTGTGTCACTTAGGGGAGGGAGTACGTCTAGGCTTTTAAATTAAGGACCTCTGTTGGGTTGTGTGCATTATCTTTAAATATGTTAAATGAAAATTGCATATTCAGAGTCAGAAATTATATTTAGTAAATGTAACCTCACTGGAAGACAGAATGCTTCCTACATAAGTACATGCAGTGTTGACTTCCTTTCTGGTCAAAAAGGCTAAAAAGAAATGTGGAAATCTAGATTCATGGGCTAGCCAGCGAAGTAACGTGCCACTTTTTAAAAAGAAGCATTCCCCTTGTTAAGAGGATTATAGAGACATCTTTCCACTTAAAGTATTTTTAGATGGATGAAATGTGACGTTTATGAAGCCCCCACCCCCACCCCAGAAGAGCAAATTTTTCTAGATCAATTTAGTTGACTTGAGTAATGAAAAAAACAATAAATAGTGCATGCATACTGTATATTTTGCATATGTTTATCAAGTTCTGAAAGGAGAATTCTTTATGAACCCGATGGGGTAAGGAGCTTGCCTCTGTATGATTTGCTTTGACGCTCTGTCAAATCAGGGCACGGTACTAATGATTTTTTTTCTCCCCCCTCCCCTCCCCTCTCCTCTTGCTTTTCTTTTTCTTCTGCTGCTGCTGCTTCTGTTCTTCTTTTTTTCCTCCTCCTCCTTCAAACTGCCCCTCCTGCTGCTGCCACCCCACCCCCTGGACCCAATCTCCCACCCCCACTCCCCTCCGCCCCCTCTCGGTTTCCTTGCTTACTGTAGCTGCCCTTGCCTTTTCTCTTGCAGCAACAGCCCAGGCACCCCGGATCATCACCGGGCCCACGCCCGTCCTCCCGCCCACCGCCCTGCGAACGCCCACGCCCGCAGGCCCTACCATAATGCCTTTGATCAGACAGATCCAAACCGCCGCTGTCATGCCAAACGGAACCCCTCACCCTACAGCTACCATTGTCCCACCTGGGCCTGAGTCCGGACTCATCTACACACCCTATGAGTATCCTTACACACTGGCACCCGCGACATCCATCCTGGAGTACCCCATCGAGCCCAGCGGTGTATTAGGTAAGCACCCTTCCCTCTGCCTTAATGCCCCAGATATATTGTGCCCTTTTGCAAAGCATTTCTATCCTGCTAGCCCCCAGCAATGGGACCTTCCAGAGAAGTGAGATAAGCCTGAAGTGTTTCTCAGCTAATTATTTTTACAGTACAGTAATACAATAAACTGACTTAAACATTGCAGAGGTACAGGTTCTGTCAAAAGCTTTTTAAAAGCTGTGGAGAAGTCCTGTGAAGATATGAATGATTTGTTTTGCACAATACGTGTTAATTTTCCATAGTACATGTATAAAAAAGCCTGGATGCAACCAGTGTTATTTTTAGATGTTTAAGAAGCTTTTCCAGTCTAATAGCATCAGCGCTATATGGGTTTCACTCAATTTTATAAGTTACAAATGAAAAAAGTAAGAATACAGTATGTAAAAAATGACTGGTGCAAAATTGCGGATAAGATTTAAAAAGTTTAAGGTCTATTTGCACCCTTTTTATGTGATGTATGTGACATTTCCAAACGAATTATTTGTTAAATGTTGAATATTGATCCCTGTCCAAGCTATGGACTCTTCTGAATAACAAAATGTTGGTTGATTAGTAGTGAGCACATGATTGTGCAAGCCTTCAATTATTTGCATAATAAGCATTTGTTCTTTTGTGAAACCTGTCAGCAATTTGGTAGGCATAAATTGCAGTTCTTTTGTGTAATCACAGCTGCATGATAATCAAAACAAAAATCAATTTGGAAGGCCCAGCTTTTATTATTATACAGAGTTTTTAACAGAACCAGTAAATATAATCAGATCAGACTTTAATTCATGAAGAAATTACAGTATTTCAGTCTTTGCAAATGCAGTTTGTTAGGATGTTAACAGATATGTTTGTAAAGATAAAATTCTGATTGATTGATAATTAACACATGAGAATGCTCAAAGTAGGTGAATTTCATATTTTTTGTAAACTATTATCAAGATTGAACTTTAAATATTTTTTTTCCTTAGCATTTAGAGATGTATTGATGATTGAGATTGATGAATGTGGTTTGTAGCATATACTGTATATTACAGCTGGTTTTAGTGGGAAGGGTGTAATAGGAGTGCTACAGTGTTCAGGAGCCATCTCAATGTTCTCTTAATGCTCTATTCTTTCTTGTGTAACCTATACAGCATCCTCAAAGGCTGAAGAACTGCCACTGTACTTTGGGTTCCATACTTGTCACATTCCAGTCACATTCCATCGAGGAGAACCCTCCTCCAGGGTCCCCTTTTAAAGAGCACAGGCTGCACACACTGTTTAAACTGCCCAGACTCCCCTTGGGGGGCCTTTTTGAGGAGCTTCCAGCCTCACCCATAGACCATGATGCTCTTGCATCATTTCACTTCGGTGAATGTTTACAAAAAAGAAACTGGCCCTTTTTCCTGTAGTGTCTGCAGCCTGAAGTGATTTTTTGTTTAATTTGTGTGCATGCCTGGTTAAAAAAAACAGCACAGAGAACCATTGCTTCAGATACTCGAGGATTCAACTGTGGATGAGGTTAACTTGTGATGGGGATCTTTTTTTGCATTGGGTTAAACATGAAGACAATGCAGTATGTGTATAACTACACAGAGGATGGACTTCTCCAGAGACTAATTCACATTCCCTTCCTTTATTCTTTAGGTATGGCTTTCCCCACGAAAGGCTAAGCATTCAAGAATGGTCTTACCCAACCCTCATCTGATCTGAGTTTTAACAAATGCTTAGTTTCACAGCTGTCTTGATAAATATGAGCTCAGCCTAGCAGTCAGTCAGACACTTGCCTTAGATACCCGAAGATATTTTTACTACTGAAGTTTACACTGGCAATATATTTTGCAGAAAAAAGTAATGATGCAATTTTATCCTATATACATATGTTAACAGGTGTTTCACTGACTGCTATGTTTTGGTAAAACAATAAACTGTTTTGCTTTACTAATCACCTAATTCACTGCCAACTGTGCTTATTGGCTTATAGCCTCAATCTAAAATTTTAGCCTAAAGAAACTACTGCAAAACGTTCTTACAAAACTGGATTGTGTCTCAGACCATTTCAGAGAATAATCAGTATTATTATTTAAGAGAAAAACTGGAAACATGGTTCTATTCTTGCTGCACTCCATTGATTATGTGACTAGTAAAGCCCACTTTGTGCTTGTCTGATCAATGTCATTAATACTGTTCTTTGGGAAATTATAACTTTGGATCCATCAGGTTAAGGCAACGTAATGGAAGTGACTGCTACTATGTTAGAAACAATATAGATATACTTTTAAAAACAAACTATTGTGCCTTAACTTGTATTTTTATCGCGTAATTTGTAGATACCATGAGTCATTTTTGATAAACCTGCTGTTGTTGATAAACTGCTAATGGAATATTTCTAGGCTGAATAATCTAACCTTGTTTTGGTAATGTTGCAATTTAACCAGGTGCGGTGGCTACTAAAGTTCGAAGGCACGATATGCGGGTCCATCCTTACCAAAGGGTTGTGACCGCAGACCGAGGTTAGTTTAGCTCCAGTGTTCGTGTTTATGAGAAATGCTATGGTTGGTTATGATCCACTTTGCAACACATGGACATATTCACAGGCTTTTAACTCAAACAATACAGTATACACATTTTTTTTTTATTCTATGAAGGGTTATTTTATTATAAAACCAGTATTCCCTCAACAGATTTAGATCTTACCACTCTTTTGGAAAGTGACATGAACATCGATCATGAATTAAACTGTCCACACACACTGAAAAACTGTAATGTGCTGGCAATGGGTTAAAGCTGATGGATAGTGTCCACCATGCACGATGTAACAGGTCATTTTTTCTATACAAATGAAAAACTATATTTATATTCGATTTTCATCTCTTCTGCATTTGCTTCTCCATTATTTTGATGACTATGTGATGCGTGTGCTGTTAATGATAAATAATGGATTCCTCTAACCAACATTTCAGTTTCCCCACTGCTTAGAAAAGAAAGATACAGAATTATGGTGTATTATGTTATTTTAACAGGTGTTGACTTCCTTTATTTTGAAGCTTTTATATGGGTTAAAGTGTAAGCATTAAAAGTATTTAAAAGAATTTATTCTTATGCTAAACATTTCGGAAAAATCTGACATGTTACAATTACGTTTTGGCTGTCTTTGTTCTGTGAAAGTCAGTTTCCTTCAGACTTAGAGTTTCAAATGTCACTTCTAAGGTTATGTGAGCAAATCACATAAAAGTTTGTTAGCGTTAAAATACAAAGACACAGAAAAGAGTTTAAAAATCAAGATTGATGTCCCTAATTACACTTCTGCCTTTTCAGCTTGAGAGAAAAAACTTTTGAATACATTCCCTAATAAAAGTCATTCATTATATCTTTCTGAATTTTGGCATTTAACATTAAGAAAGTTATTATATGTAAATTCCTTGAATTATTTTTTGTAAAAAAGTATGGTATTTATAGAGTTGAAAGTTGAATGTGGAGCAATAAGAAGCAGTTGGGGTGGTGTTGCTGAAATGGAATAAGCTATTTCGAGTGCCTTATTAGTGGATACTAGAGTGGACTCCATCAGCTTGTTTTAGTAGAACACATCATTCACAAAAGAATGAATACAGCAGGACTTTACCAATGCCTTACCCAGCTGGGGAAACTGAAACCAAATGATGATGTATACCAGCACAAATACCACCTAGACCTTTAATTTGGTTGGTTGCTGTTGCAAATGAACGTAAAGTTTTTCTTCTTGTGATCTTTTTCAGTGAGAGTTCTTTGTGTGAAATACATTATTTTTTAAAATGTGTTCTATGATGAACAGGCAGAAAAAAATGAAGATTTGGTTTTCTGTTCAAATTAAATGAGACTATCAAAATGTTATGTGTTTCAAGCCTGAGGACTGTCGTTTTGAAGAGTCCAATCTGGTTAATCTAAAGGTGATCAAATTCAGTGTTTGACCACGTGACAAAGCAAATGAATTAATATATTACCCCATAATTATTGGTCTGACATCTGTATTCTAAAATGTGCAGAGGGCAAACATGCTATTATGTCAGCAAATCCTTGCAGTGTCTAAAAAGACAAAAATAAAGTGAAACATAATTATGTCATCAATACTTCATCCTAATTACTGCAAGAATATATTTTAAAGATGCAAAACAGTTTTGTAAATATAATGGACTGTATGGTTTACAGTACATAGAAAACATCAGTTATTTGCCTACAAAGGTAGGTAAAAAAGTTTTTGTTTCTTTTTGTATGTGTGTGGTCTCACATGCATGTAAAGATATGGTAGGATTAAAATTTATTCAGTTTTTACAGTTAGAAATATTTTGATCTGGCTATATCATTTTGAAGAAAGTTGCAGAGATTATCCAGGTTAGACTGCTGGTTAAAATATGATACTTAAAAATGTTGCATTAAATATCAATTCAAAAGCATTTGTACAAAAGAGGTTTGTGGACCCAATATCCTCTTTGGTAACAATTCTGATTATTACCTTTTTAATGTGACAAATATTTGAATCAGGATTTAGTATGAACACACGGTGATGGGGAACTAAATCTTCATTTTTTATTCTCCTGCCAAACTAATTTAAGTTGCCACCCACATATGCCCTTAGACCCAGCAGTGAAATGTTCGTAAAAAGAAATGGCTTGGTATTTGGGTTTATTGACAGGTCTTTTATGAATTGGCACTTTTTTTAAAGCTGCACATACAGGAAGTCCTATTAAACAGAGAGCCTGTGATGTGAAGTCATTACACACTTCAAGGTATAACCTCTTCTGTGAAATGCTAATGGTGTTTGTGTTAAGTGTTTTTCATGTTTTCATCAGTGTGCTTTCTGTTTTTGAATTTGTAAATTGCAAAACTTGGACCAATATATACTCTTTCCTCTTTGAAAGCAATATTACATTTTAACAAAGGATTTTAGTGCACTTTACATTTTGATGAATAATCCTTCATAATGTCAGTCTTCCAATTAACATAAATATGTACCTTTACTCTGTACATTTGCTATTAGGATGTTGTTTTTTTCAGATCTACAGCAGTAAACCTAAGTATACCAGTTTGCAAGACAAATTTACAGTATAGATGCTTCTATCCTGAATAGCTAGAAAGCATTGCTGGGTCTAAGGGAATTGAAAAACTGGCACTAGAACTTATTTTGAAGTACTACCACAATTAGACTTAGGGATTGCTCTTGTTTTTTCTGATTCGTGTTGGAGTATCATACATGTGCCAAAACTCAGCTAAACATATTCCCATTCAAGAAGGTTTAATTATTGCTAAACGTCTCTGAATGGTGAATTTTTACCAAGTGAATTAGTTTTGCATTACTAAGAAAAAAGACCTTAATAAGTAACGAATGAAAACTAAGTTTGGTACCTGTAACAGGCAGATAAACTGACAAGATTAATTAAAACAAACTACATGAATTTGCACAATTGTCAAACCTGTGTGTTGAAAAATAATAGCCTGTGACTGGCCAGAGGATACAGGTGTTTGAGTTCTGTGGAAGCAGGGAGATGTCTCTTTCTGGTTTTATATTGACTAGGCTGTAAAAATGCCTCTGTGTTCTCAAACAAGAAGATATAGCAAGTATTGTATTATTTTGTAATGGATTAAAAAAAGAAGCTACAGTATACAGCAAATGTTACTTTACAATGTAAAGCTACTGAATAAAGCATGCAACAGCTGCATGATTCTCAATGCCTAAGTGATACTTTTGCTGTGTGGGCGCCTTATTTTTAATATTATAATATTACTTAGAAAGTTAATAGAAATCTTTATCTTTCAAGCTGTGAAAAATATTCAGCACTTAATAGGTTGCTGATGAGGTCATTCATCATAATCTTTGATATGTTAAATTATTACAGAGGTAAGAGCTTTGAAGCAAGATGATTTTTTCTGCATTTTTACAGGCTATGCAAGCCAGTAAAGATACACTGTCTGTAACCATCTACACCTTGTTTCACTTTATTTAAAACAAAATGGCACAAAACTGATTTTGCACTGAATAAATAGATCCCTTAATCTCCTCTGCCTCAGTCACACAGGCTACATGTTAAAGAAAACTGCAAGAAACCTCAGAAAAAAGTGAAAATGATTAAGCTGTTGAAATGAGTCTTACAATTACTACTGTTAAGTGGACCAAGTTGATAAAGGGGACAATTTGTGGATAAGATTAGACCAGATCATGAATGGACTGAAAAAAACAAACCTTTCCACTTGAGAACTTTTATGTTTTACTGTAAGCATCTTTTTTGTTGTTGTTGCAAAGAAAATAGTATTTACAGGGGGCTTCTTAAAAAAGATATAAAAATATAAAGCAAGAATGTATATGAAATGTCAGATTTTATTGTATTTGCAGAGAAATAGCATTGATACTCAAGAGGGCTATTTGTAGGAAAGAAAAAATATGCATCATAGCAACATTTAGAAAATTTCCTATATTTTTGGATGTACTTTAGGGCTTTATAAACGTAGACTATAAAATGGCAGGACTTTACAGTGTTTATAAGCAAATGCATTTTATATAAGAGTGTCCTGTAAATGTATCATAGAGTTTTAAAGCTGGGGGTTTGTCCTAAAGCAGCAGCCTTAGCAATCCCCCAGCTTCAGTATTGATGCCTACACTGCTAGATCTCCAGTTTAGTATTGCTTTGTATTATGAGGCCAAGATTTTCATGTTGTTGTAAATAGAAAAAAAATACCTGAAAGGCAATAAAAGTTTATTGAGCAAAAAAAAAAACTTGTACGCTCCATAAATTATTAAAGTTCAAAATTGTCTTCTTGAAGTTCCTATTTCTTCCAAATTCATTTATCTTAACAACAAATTATTAATATTCACATTCATCATTAATAGTCGCTTTTATGCTTGCACTTGGAAAGAGTACTAATGCTTAATAGCAGTCAGAACTGATAACTGTACTGACTGTTGTCAAATGATTCTCATTGATTAGAACTTCCTTCTGTCCAGATTTCTTCCATCGACTGCTACTAACCATTAGTCATATTAGTTATTTTATTTCATTGTTTGTTTTTTATTTCCTCCTTTTTTAACATTTTATTTGTGGAAGTGGGCTCTTCTTCATGTTTGAAATCATGATACAACACTGTCATGATTTTACTGCATTCTGTAGATGGTGTCAATTAGTCTGTCAGTAAAACGTGCTTGTTTTATTAGTTGTGATTAGTTTTCATGTTGTCATCAAGCCGTCACTAGCTGAAACTAATCTCTTCTCTATCTTTTTCTTTTTTCCTTTTTTGTTTCTCTTTTTTTGTTTTATTTTGTTTTGTTTTCTAACCACCCAGCCGCCACCGGCAACTAACCTATGACCTTCTGACCTCTGAACTCTTCACCCAATGATGACCTGACCATTGCCTGGCTGCTGATCGGTTTTCTGGTAAACGCCTTTGCTTGTCTGTCCCTTGTGCAGCGAGCTGAGGCTCTGGCCCATCAGCTTATCACCTAACAAAAAACCAACTACAGCAAACAGACATAAACACAACAAAAAAAAGGTTCAACATCTCCGCTTTCTGCTCTGGTTGGGTGATAGTGGTTCTAGACCTGCACTGAATAGTAGTAAAGCAATAAGGTCCAATTCATCCCTCAGCACAGCTCAACAGTCCACAGCCAAATCCTGCTCCCATTTCTCCACCCCCAACTCCCTGAATAATTAAAAAACGATGATAGAAGGCCAGGAGCCAGCTTTCTGTTTTCCTAACTCTCAGAGGCAGTTACTGTGAGATTTCGACAAAGTACTTCAGCTCATGGTGATATAATTCGCTCTGAATGTATCGTGTTGTAATGATGCATCATGCATGAACCTTTTAGTCAATAATTCCATTGGTGGAAAAGACTTTTGTTTTACTTTTTTCTTTTAAAATATTTCACATTTGAATAGGCATAACCGCCTTTGCAGGCAATACTAAAAAGTGTGTAAAAGAATACTGTGATTGTGCCTGCCTTTTTCTGGAATTAGTTGTGCACCACTACCGAATAATGCTGAAGCTATGAGTTAATGAGCAAAGAAAAAGTAAAGTCTTTCAGCAGATATTGCAGTTAGAGGTGGAGTTGAGCAGCTGGAGCTGATTTAAAGAGACTCAGTGACAGCAAAGGTACATGCATCATGTGTCCCATTATGTGGCAACTGATTTTTTTTTATAACAACACTTCCTTGTAAAGATACTTCTTTAAGGATGTAAAAGCCATGCTTGCCTATTTGCTGTACACATGTATTAAAATTGTAGATAAATGTATTATGTTGAGAAAAAAATGAACATAAGTAGATAATTTTACGATACAAGGGTGCTGGTGAAGAGAAATATATATTTTTCAAAAATGTAGCCTTTTATACTTTCAAGTATTATAAAGAACAAAAAATGAACAAAGAAACCCTTTATTTCATGAGAAAAATTGTTTTCCTTTCATGGTTGGAGAGTTATTAAAGACCAAAACAGCCTTTTTTTTTCTTTCCTTTTTTTGTTAAGCATCTAAAATGTCAAAAGAATGAAAAGTGCCTTATTTTATTCATGGTCATTGAGTCTGAATGTCTCATAAATCAGTTCCTATCGGAATACCAGGTTAACACACCACTTTGTCAGCCTCTGCATTTAAGGGGAGCTGTGAATGAATGAACATGAGCTTGCAGCAATGAAGCCAGATTTTGCCTTGCCGCTGAACTGAAGCTTGGGCAGAAATTCTTTCAGCTGTCCCTGTCGACTTTTAAAAATTTGCTGTGCTGCCACATAAAATCTCAGCAGAAAATGTTATGTACTTACTGGCCAAACTATTAAGAACCAATAACTAATCAAACTGGACCTCTGTAAGAACACTTTGAACAGGACATGGCATGTACTGTATTCTATAAGGTTCTGAAATATGTGTAGGTCGGTACCATCCCATTCTCTCCTTCTGTTGAGGTTGAGATGAGTGGTAGTCCCATGTAGTATTGAACTGCAAGTTCCACCTACAGTATGTAACTAGTTTTCAGACTAGGTGCTTGGTCTGGCCAGGAGAGGTGATGGGCTTGGTCAGTCTTGGGCTTCACAAGCCAACCACACAAGAGATTGCTGCCAAGAAGTGGCTCATTTAACACAGGCTTCTTAGTAGTTTGGCCAGTGGGTGTGTTAACCTCAATGGGAATACTCTTCCCCATACAGAAAGAAGTGGCACTGCTGGAAACCTGCTAAGTTGGAGAAATTGATGAGGCAACAGCTAACAGAAGAACAGCACACTTAGTTTTAAACCCTTACAAACAGGTCTCTTAATGGGTTATTTAAAATTGCCATCAGAATTCAGTGTTGTTCGTTCTTTGTGAACCCTGTTAAAACTCTTGCATGATAACTAACAAATGTAATACAGATAATTTTAGCGTTTTACTTGTTCATCCTTTCTTTTCTGCCTACATGAAAATCTTTTTTAAACACTAAAGGATTTAAAATGAGAGTAGTAAAGTTAAGAGTATTGCATGTGTATACAAAGAGTCATTATCTTTAAAGGTGCCATTAATACGAGGAAGTAAAGCTTCCATACTTAAGCTGAAAATGGAATAACAATGACACTGTGGAAGAGTTCGTTTTCAGAGTCTACATTTCATAGGATTTCCTCAGGGCAGGCAAAATACTGTATCATTGGCATAGTAGTGCTGCTGTCCAAAAATAAAATTCTAAAGAACAAAAGTGCAGGAAAAAGAACTTTCCACTGTTGTTTTAGAATGTAACTTAATGTAACCTCTGACATGACATTATTTGAAGAATATTGAAAAGAAAGGGTGGTTTAATAAAATGACTGTGGCATATATCAGATGGCAACTGGTGGCTTATTCTGTGAGCTCATTCTTCTGTTTTTTCACAGCCTTATAGAGTTTCCAGCTTAGCTGTCCACCCATTGAGTGGCTATAGACAGTTACTCTAGGACTGTATTATATTGCTATCCACTGTTGTGTTCCCCTTCCCAAGAAAGCAAAGTGATTTATTTACTATGCAAACTATTTATCCTTATACGTAACCAAGTTTGTCATCACGTTTGTCTTCCTTCTGGATGTATCATTTAGATTTTCTTTGACCTCATTTACCTTTATGCAGTGCCATTATTTAATAACAGTAATCTTATTTTTGTTTGTATGTTTCAATTAAAGGCGTAACAGAAAGCAAAACAAGAAGCATATGTGTACTCGAATCCAGATATACTCTTGCTGAATGGAAATGAAAGCAGTTTATGTTTGTTACATCGTCGCAGTTCTGGGGTAAAACCTAGAAATACAGTGCTGGTTGAAGGTCATTTGGAGGGGAGCATAGCCACTGAAATGAGAATGCTGTTTGATGTGGTAGTTTTAGATGGGTCCGTTAGAGTTTAGTGGCTGAGACTATCATATCCGATAAGCATGACTACTTTGCAGTCTCAGTATGCATTTGTTTTTTCAGTATTATTTTGAGTTTATTTCATTTTATTGAAATATTAAGCTTTTTTGACAGTATTCTGTATTTTTGTGTTAAGTGGGAGTGTTTCCTGTATGCTACCATACAGCTGACAGTTCATCTGTTCCTGTTATTGTAACTCTAGACCCATGTTATGTACCATAACCAACTTATTGCCTACAAGAAAGACATGTAAGATAATGTATTT